AATCCCGCGGGCTGTCGCTGGGCGGCGGCGTTTCGAAAATTATGAATACGGACGTCATTTATAACGCTCGAACGCGCGCACCGCATTTATCTGGATTGCGCGCGCGCAGGAATGAATTAACGACGGCCGCCCCGCGTCCAATGATGTTCTACAAAATATTTCGGACGATTCATCATTCCATGGACGTAATTACCCGCCAACCGGCCGTTCCAGGCGCGTCCCCGGCGCGACGCTCGTCCGCATGTTAGCGCGCGCGTCTCTCCTCGGCATCTCCAAAATCCAGCATCCGTCCGCGAGAGGCGAATGCAGCTGCCCCGCCGACGACGATGACACTCGTCTTCCGCGATCTCGTATTTTGTGCGGATATTCGCGTAAACTTGTGTCATCGACGCGAGAGGACGGTATTTATAGATAAGAGTTAACTGATCCGGGTGGTTCGCTATAGTTTGTACTCGCGTAAATCTCTCGAAGCGATGTCTCACTCGAAAAGCAGAGAGATCATCAAGTCACTCAAACTTGACTTCTCGCTAATATAGAGTGAATCCTCCACTTTGAATCGCGTCGTGTACGACTCGAAGAAATCGTAGTTAAAATCTGTTTACCTTCCACTTGTCTATCTGTTGGGTTCTATTTATCTATAAAAAGTGGAATAATGGCAGAATTATTTGAAAGTGTAATTTTTACAGTTTTCAATATTTTATCATGCGAGAAAAATTCAGTTCCTGCGATGGAATAGGGACCAGGTGAAAACTCGCAGCAAAATCGAAAGATAGCAAATTCGATTGACCGGAACATTCATGAATGGGAATTCCCCTGTACGATTTCAGTTAAATACATATATTCTTATAATTGCGAACGGCGGCATTTTCACTGTCGCTTCGGTTGGATTTGCTTTCATTCCGAGTGAGATTTCGCTCAAAGAAGAATTTAGAGAGTTGGTCCCCCAGCCGTACACGTGAAATCTCCATTTCGGATTGAGCTCATTTAAAAGTCGAATATCGGGTTAAAGCGTTAAATTTAAGTTTATTTGGCGTCTCAACGATCCGGGCTAATCTTTACCGTCGTATTCGCCGTCCGAAAAATTTACAGCCCCGAGTGTAAAAGAGAACGGTGATCGTATACAGCCTATCCACGCCGGCCGGTCGTTACGGCGTGGTAGCCATTCGCTTGCGTGTTTCAGCGATCGGGTAATTAACAGAAATTAATTAGCAGTCAAGAAGAACATATTGATCGGTTACGTGCGCGGCATGGCTAACTTTGGCCGAGCGACATGAAATCGCTATGTTGCCAGCGTGAATGGAAGCGACGTCGGCGTAACGACAGATTGTCCGGTTCACAGATTCGCGATGTGTGTCCTGTGTACTCGCTTTTTCTCTTCGAAATCTTGAGAGCTCATTAAGGATACTTTATATGGAGGCGCCTCAAGCCGAATCAGCCGCTTCGTGTTTTCGAATTCTCAATATTACCGCGAATCTCGTGTAGATCATGCATATGTCAAATACCTCGAGAAAACGCATTTCTTTCTTCACTTTATTCTATTTGCTTGAAAATCCGCGTTACTTGCTAATTGTCATTATTATTTTCCTATCGTTGTACGCTCACATGCGTGAATTCGTTCTCCGTATAAGCGTGAAATAATTGTTGTAGACCTTTGACGTTAAGTGTGTTGCAAAAACATCTCAGTCTCTCTCTCTCTCTCTCTGTCCGTCTGTTTCAAGGAAAAATTAATAGCTATATAACGCAAGTGTTAACCTCATTAATAATTCATTTACTCGACAACGGAAATCGACGACGGCCTCTCTCAACCGTTGTCACTTCAACGATAATAATGAAATGTCAACGGCGGGCAATCAAGTGTAATTAGCGGAACACACCTAGTAAAATATTGCGTCGCGTTGTCACGACCCACATATAATGTCCTTAAACGCAAAGAAGAAAGCGAGACGCACCGGACTCGCGACCGGACTCGCGACTGGACTCCGCCGTTTGAAGGCTGCATAAGTATTTAATTGGCGGAAATTAATTAGCCTCCCGGGAGAACGATATTGATCGGTTAGATGTACGTCAACTTGCCCTCTCCTCTCGCCCCTCCTACCCGGCTGTTTCCGACTTGTCCCCCGGGCGACACACGTGAAACCAGAAATGCAGCGAAGTGCAGCAAGACGAGAATGGAAGACGTAATACTGGTGTTACGAGCAAAATCCGACCGACAATGCCGGCGGTCCGCGCCTTTTTCGTAAGCCGCCCGATCGTTAATTAGCGCACGGANTCTCTTCCGTTATCCGTCACGAAATCGTCATCGTTCTCCGTTCTCTCCCGCAGCTGGATGTCGAAAACGCTTTTTCGCGATCGCCAACGCGCGGCCGCGCGGACGAAATCGAAAGATGTAACGTCTCGCGTCTGAGCGACGCCAGCAGCACTGCTGCAAGATGTCAATTCATTCTTTTGCTTCTCTCTCTCTCTCTCTCTCTCTCTCCCTCGAGTTGCTTGTTTCGAACGAGAATGGCGAGACAGTCGCGGGGTAACGATACCTCTGATGACACACTGATGGAAAAATATTTGTATATTTGTAATATATATAATTATAATATTTGTAACTGTAACACTGTAACTATATACACTATGATATATAAAAGAATTACAGCCAGGAGAACGGAAGGTTTTTACCGCATGGAAAAAAATATCATTCCATTGCTGAGTAAAGCGATTGCTCAATTTACTTACTTTCCTTTAAGCAATTCTTTTAAGTTATCTTCAACACGAGGAATATTTTTTTCTTGATAACAGTCTTAAAATATACTCATCGCAAATTTTAAAAAAGCTTATTGTCACGCATATAAGGGGATAAATCGTTCTCTTTTCAAGAATATTACTTTATTGACGAAAAGTTAAAGTGCATTTATTCGAGTAGGCAAACCGAAGTTTGTGTTAATTGAATAGTTTTGATCGAAGTGTTAAATTCATGTTAAGATTCAGAATAGATTTCGAAGAAGAAACGATACGTGGATATCGACGGTTTCTTTCTTTGGTACTCTTTCGAAAACGTTCCCGGCACAACCCTCCCCCTCCCGCCCTCGCGTCCTGCATTTTTGCCGTGTGAAAAAATTAACGAACGATCGACAAGGAATGCGACCGCTATCGCTGCGCGAAGCGGCCGATAAGATACCGCGAAGAGATGGCGAAATTTTATGCGGCATCAACTAATTGCGCGCACATGAACCGATCGTAAACAATCTGAACAGCCAATGATAATCGTGCGCGCAGCGGACGCGCCGCGAATACCGCGGGATGATGAGCCGATAATTAGGCGCCGTCCGCCGGCCACTCGAAGGCGATTTATTTTTTACGATTTAATTTGCGCTCCCGTCGTCGTTGTCATCGTCGTTGCGCCATCGCGAGATCGTAATCGCTTCATCATCGCGAAACACTCCTATGAGAAGGATGCGTTTCGCTCGTCGCTCGCGCTCGTAAATTAACGGCTAACGTCTCGCCCATTCGACGTTAATTATATAGCTTGCGCGCGGGGACGAACTAGTGCGGTTTAATAGTACGAATACAAATGCCCGCGAATGCCGCTATTATCACTCCGTTTTTCCAATTACGCCCGGTGGGCAAAGTAAACGCGAGTGACGTTCCTTTAATCCGTCGCTTCTTGTTTTTGTGCGCGCGCTCGCTCGCTCGCTCACGAAAAAAAAGGTGCACCGGTTCGACTCGGCCGACGAGAGTGGGCGAGGTCGAGTCATGATATTAAGTGATTTCCCAATGAAACCCCTGCATCTCGTGCCACCAGAGGCAATGGTCGCGTCTCAACTAAATAAACTTCTCGCGCCCGACGCCCACTCTCGAAGCGCGCTTTCACTGATCAACGGTCGCGTCCTGCTCTTCACTTTGAGGAAGTCGCTTTACATTATATTGTGCGTACACGGTAACGAATGGTCGGCTGAATGTAATGATAATGAACAGGCTAAACAGGCATTCTGGTCGGAAGGAATGGAATTACCGGTTCTTGGAACGGAAAATTCGGTCCTTACGGAGGTGAGGATGGTGAAATGGCCGTCTTAATCGTCGATTTTCCGCCGGACATGCTCTTATCAAACAGATTGTATCAACGAATCATTCGTTTGAGCGACGCAATAGAGAGGAAAAGACCGTTCACTGGCCGTGGAAGTCATCTTGCAGCACGATAACGTTCGGCCACGCGTCGCAAAAAGAACGAAGGACACTATTTATTCGTTGGGCTGGGAAATCCTCCCTTATGAGGCTTATTTACCAAATTAGCCCCTTTGGATTATCATCTATTCCGATCGCTCCAACACCTGGTAGATACGTATTTTAATAGCACGGAAGAGGTCCGAAAATGTATCGACAACTTTATCGACTCGAAGGCGCCATCTTTTTTAGCGAAAGGACGATTTCTCAGCTGCCTGATAGATGGAGCGAAGTATTAGAAAATGGTGGCGAATATTTCCAAGATTGATATGTTCATCAGTTTTTCGCAAATAAAGGCACGATTTCTTCAGAAAAGACGCCGAATTAATTTGCGCGCCTAACACATTTCTTATTATATTATCTACTGTCATTGACGGATTGCAGTCAAACTACGACGGATTATTTATTATTATTAAAAGTTTCTAATGAGTTAAGCACCGACTCTTTATTTGTTATTAATCTAGAAAAGTTAGCAAAATTATCATCTTATCATCTCACCTGTCTTTCCCCTAATCAGAAATTCTGTTTCCGACGCTCAGGTTCATCACCATGTGAATTCAACGGAAGATTTTTCTCTATGTACTCTCTAAATTTCTCGTAGTGAGATCTCAAAGAGCAGAGTGGCCACCGAGTCGGTCGAATTTGAATAACTTTTCACATTTAGAGTGAATCCTCCACTCTGAAGCGCCGAATGAATATTTTCCCTTGAACTTGAAGAGTAAATTGAATATATTCCACTTTCATAGTCGGAGATGGGGACTCACCTGAGCACGTGTCCTCTTGGGTTTCAGGGGACCTGAGGTTGCCGGGGCCCGGACCAGGCCCGGTGAGATGCACCCTCCGGAAGCACAAGCCGAACCGAAAGCCACGAACGCCGTTCACGACTTCGCAGCTGTTGTCGTTGGAGAAGAAGTTTCGCGAGAAGCAGTACCTGACGATAGCCGAGAGAGCGGAGTTCTCGAATTCCCTTCAGCTCACGGAAACGCAGGTGAGAACGCCCGGGTGGCGCGAGCAATTAAACTCTCATTCGGGGGCACTTGAGACGCAGTCTCGGTAACAGCGAAAGATCAACAATCGACTTTTACGCGAACATTCGCTGGGCAAATGCGCGCAGCGAATGAGTTTACGATCGATCGGTTATATCAGGCGTATTTTCAATAACGAGAATGCAAAAGACCGGGAGAAATATCTGCCTCAGTTCGATCTGATAAACGCGAGGCGCACCGTGAGTGAGGGGGAGAGAGAGAGACAAAAAAATACATTAGCGCGCGCGGAAATTGACGGTTAAATCGACGGAGTACCCTTGGATCAGCGAGCACTTAATCAATAAAGATCGCTACGGTTCGTTTGCTAAATTAATTTTATTAGACGACGGCAAACATGTTAATGACAGTCGCCAGTTGAAGGCGAGAAACGGTGACTTGCGCGCCGGCAATTAAAGGCGTCTTTACGCGCGGGAAGAAAAGGAGGAATGTTTGATTACGCGCGGACTGCTCCCTCTCTATAAACACTATTATTCTTATCTGTGATTCTTTCCGCTTGGACTATCATCGTTCTTCGCGCGACATGTGTAACAGCCGGGCCGTTATCGCGCCGGTTGGCGTGCCAAGATACACTTTGCGCATTCGTTACAATGCATCAGCCGAAATGAAGGCTACATCGCATTCATTTGCTTAGATAGGCTACAATTATCCCGGCCGATCTCTCCTATGTGTCGTTTAACTCGCCGAACCGTTCCTTCGCCCGCGGGGCTTCTCCTCTCATTATTCACCGCGGACAAAGAGGTATGTTCACAATTCAACTCGCGATACCCGTGAACCGTGACGACCGTGGTCTCACAAAATAACGTATCAACTTCGGTTAGGGTTGTGCGGGATTTTTCTTTTTCTAAACGGAACACGAGAAAATCCGCGACGTGTCCCTTGAATTTACTTTTCATTTCTCTGCAATGCCGGCGGATATTGTAAGTGTGAATGTAGAACAGCTGTAATGACGAACTGGATATCACGGATGACAATTTTATTTAACGATCCGCTCGCGCCCGTTTCCACCCGTCATGCGTGAAATCTAATCGCCGACCGACTCAACGGAATTGACCAATCGCGTTGGTCAACTAGTTTAACTGATCGACGGGATGGGTCTATTACAATTGCGTTAATCGTCGATTAGATTTAAACTTTGCTGGTAGAAACGGTCGTTAGTCGTGACTTCTGAGCGCGATTAACTTCCGTCTGAAAATATTTCGCGCGTAAAGCGAGGCGCTCCATTGATATGCAAACTCTCCTTTCTTTAATTAGTATTATAATATTTCGCAATTTTACAATATACTCAAAATAGAATATACGTCACCTGCTTACATCCACAAGTTCAAATTGCCAGAAGGCTTTCGTTTCTGACGGCTCACGCAGTAGACAAGCATGATTGTAAAAAGTCCGCTTTAGCTGGATCGCTGCGGTGCAAATCCTCTAGCTGAAGCTCCTTTCACACATTTCTCATACATGTCTTGTCACTTCAAGTCATTTAATACGACCGGGCGTGTTAACACGTCCAAATTTAACGTGTTAATTTAACACGATTGAACATTTTGTCAATGACGTAAGTTAAATCGACAGGAAACATGTGAAAACAGATCCGGTCAAATCTGTCATTTTGAGACGCGTGTGAAAATAACAGACTTAGATTCACACGGCGCGAGTCATCGCGCCGGCGACCGTTCAAGTTGAGACATCTCCCGGGGAGGATCGCAGCGGTACCGGGAGTAACGTCGCGATAACTATCGCTTATCGGGATGATCGCGCGCATTATCGAAAACGGCCGCTCGTTAAAAGCGCCATCGGCGCGGAACAATTTCGTAAGCCGAGCGTCGCGCGCGCGTCTCTTCATGGAAGCCGAAGTGCCGTCGCAAATTAGCCGGCGATTCAGAGCGACAGCTGCGCAAACGGGGGAATTCGCGAGCGCGACTGTGCAAATAACAATTAAACGCGATTTAGCGTTTAGTCCGGGCTCGTCCGCGCGCAAACCCGATATCCGTTATCTCCTCGACGTGGCGGATTTCTCGATACGTCGATAATTCCTCCACCACGTGCCGCATGATGCCCGTTTAGCCGTTTTCCGAGCTTAATGACGCGCTAAATTCACATACGCATCTACGCACGCACCATACGTCTCTCACCGTCTCACGGCTGTTTTTATCCGTCGAGCGCGTCGCGCGCGCCTTCTCGGCCACGCGCTAATTGTCGGATTATCGTGTCATTTTATTAATCGTCTTCGCGAGCGCGTGCGACGAACCTCGTCCGTTGCTGTTTACCGATAGTAAATCCACATCCGGTGTTTAACGCGACGTAGTACAGTGACAACGTAACGCTTGCGCAATACTCATATAAAACAACCGGTATTATAATTAGCGCGTCGGGAGAGGGGGGAGGGGAGATTCTCCGAGTTTTAAGGCGTCTGCTAATTATTAATATCTATGATTCTATCTCTGTGTGTGCGTATATGTTCCTCTCTCTCTCTCCCTCTCTCCGTAATGCTTCAAAAAAGTTCTAAAAGTCGAAACGACGTTACAAATGAAAATGTGTCTTTAACGAAGTACTGTAAAACAATTTACTTTCATACTGAAAACAGCGGAAACAAAAATGGCAGACATTATTATAGTCAAAATAGGAGTGAATTATATCATACGAAGCTGTTTTGTTGTCTTAGCTCTTACCATGTTGTAGAAGGTTTAACATCGGACGAAGCCGGGCGCGTCGATTCGTCAGGTGCAATTGTGATCGTCGATTTGACGTAATCGCCGTTGTGTTGCAGGTGAAGATCTGGTTCCAAAACCGACGGGCCAAGGCGAAGCGGCTGCAGGAAGCGGAAATCGAGAAGCTAAGACTATCCGCGAGACCCCTCTTGCACCCGAGTTTCGGCTCGGGGCTCATGTTCTCCGGGGTAGGTCCTCCGGGTACCCCTGGAGTGCCTCCCTTCATTGCGGCTGCCATGGCCAGGCACACTCACGCCGCGGCGGCGGCGGCCATGTTTATGGGACCGCCTGGCCATCGACCTTAATAACGGCACGAGTCACTCTCGACATCGTCGTGTAACGATCTGACAACTCGTTCGCAGACCGAGACTCCGATGATGCGAAGTCTGTGATCCCGAAGAAGCTAAGAGAATCCAGAGACTGAGGACCCGGTGATTCAAGAATCCAAGGAGCAACAAATCCGAGGACTAGAGTCCGAAGAACCTGAAGGATTCGAGAATCGAAAGTGAAATTCATGGAGAATTGCGAAGTCGAGGAGGGAGGAACGGAGAGAGAGAAAGTCGCACGCGACATTGTGATCGAGGAACTTGAAGAATCCGTGATCTGTGGGCTGGGGCAGCGAGAACGGAACTTGAAAAGTCCGTCATCGAAGAATCGAGGGCTGGAAAGCGGGGGTTCGAAGACCTCGAGATCCAAGATCCTGGAGAACACGAAGATCGAAGGATCGGAGAGCCGATGAGTGATCCATAAGTCACACCTAGTATCATAGCGACACTTAGGTAACATCACGCTGTTGATTCCTGCGAGTGACCTCCCTTTAAAGTCAAGGAGAGGACCATCCGAGAGTTCTTGGTTACTCTTGTTCGTTAGTTCGACCTCTGACCAATCGTTCGATCGGCCACTCTCCTACGGAATCGCCGAGAACATTGGGATCCACCACGTTTAGCGGATGGAAGTCGAAATTGGCCGGGAGCGGTGCTCGCGCGCGTTAACCGTCTTATCGTCCTGCGATCTACGGATAATCGAAATTTCAACACGGAAAGCGAGCGGGGAGCAACACCGAAGCTGTCGGAGAAATCTGCAACTCAAGGAGGCGTCCTCATAACTTTTCCCGACGAACGATATGTGGAAGGGACACGTGTCGGCGTCCAAACACGACGGACGCTCCCGGCGCTTTGATCTCAAGAGAAACGACGCATCGATGTATATAGTGTAAATAGGTACCGCGTTCGTACGGTAATTAGTGGGCGTGTACGTATGTATATACACACGTGTACAGGACTGGCTGCGATTTAGCCTCTCGCGAAGAATCGCGAAGGGCTAAGTGAGTGTGCTCGAGGGATGTTAATTTTAACGAGTCGGAAAGACCGCGCTGGAAAACCCGGCACGAAAGAGAGAGAACCCTCGTGTTCCCGGATTTATTTTCGATATGGACCGCAAGATGAGCGCGGATGACGCGAGCATGCGAGGTACGTTCAAGCAATTCCGAGTCTGAGAATATTCGAAGGAGAGTCGACACCGGGATAATGTCATAAACAGTCATCTCTCTGAAAACAATTCCGCCGTGTTGCGAGATCCACTTAGGCGTTCCTCGAAACTTTTCATTTCAATTCTTTCGGAGTATCGATGAAGGAAGAAAAAAAAAGAGAGCGAAAAGTCGCGGAGTAAAATTTCGAACAAATAATATTAGGGGTGTATCAGCGAACGTTTCCAGTAGTCGTCGCGCGTAAAGAGAACGCCAATCTCTTTCTCCCAAGACTATATTCCGTCAATAACCTCATTTAACCCAGGAATCTTTCGGACTTGTTGAATTTTCCATGCGCGCTGAGAAGAGACGAGAGGTGAGAACGCGTGTAAATTACGCGTGTATCAGCGTGTACCAAGGGAGACGGAATCGTTCCATAGGCAGTCGAAACTAATGTTACGAATACGGCGAGGTTCTAGATGTACCTATGCGCCCTGTATAAATGTAAGATGATAATTTATCCATGGAAGTATATATATATATATATATATATATATATATGTATATGTATGTATATATATATATATATATGTATATATATATACATATATATATTATAGCGAAATAAAAATGATTTCAGTATTTACCCGTCCCGTCGATCTTCTCAACCCTCAACGCGAGACGCACGAAATTCCTTAAAGACCCTCCCTGCCATGTGCAGAAAAAATACAAAAAGAAAGGAAGAAAAGAAGGAAACAACTTTTCCTTCGAAAGCTCCTGTCGAAAGGATTATAACGTTAACGTAGTAAGCGCCCCCTCGAGCGGCTACTCGAAGCCGCGCGCTCTCCGTAAATTTGCAAATAATACCGTGACCTAATTGATCGGGCGTGACCCTCTCCCCAAATAAGGCATCATATTGAATCAGGACAAAAAGAAGGAGGAAAAAATACACACGTAGGGGAACCTATGTGGGGAGGGGGGAGGGTTTGTCCGGCGCGATCGTATGTATCGCACAGTCATCGACGAGTCGGCCTCATATATGGCAAGTAGTCGATCCGGTGCTATAAGGCGGCCGAAAGTGTCCGCCAGATAATTAGAAATATGTTAATCCGCCGTGGCTGCTAATTGGTTTTTGACTAAATTTTTAATTAAGTCTTAAGCCTGGGCGGCGCGCTGATTTATCGAGAAGAGAAAGAGAGGTTGTGGCAGAAGGAGAGAGGAAGGGAAGGGGTCTCTGCGGCTAATTATAAAATATATATATACAGAGTGAGCCAACACGTATCTACGGCCGCCGCTCGTTTGTCATTATCATATTTGTGCGTGTCTTCGGTGTGTGCACCTGTCTTGCTTTACGGTGTGTAGCCATAGGCGCCTGCAGCTCATTTTCTCGACAATGCCGTAATTTTTCGCGAGGGACAGAGAAAAAGAGAAAGAGAGAGATAAGAGAAGGAGGGAGGTGATAATCGTTATGTTATCCTGACGTTTTACGTGAATACGTAAGCATTCGCGGGAACATCAATGATATCGCAATGCGAGACGGACTGGATATATTTTACGATTGTTGGTGATTTTCATGCGACTTCTCTCGACGAAATTTCAGCCCGAAGCAACGTTACCATTTGGTATCAGAAATGAGAGACATTCCTGGCCGTCATTTCACGTGAATATTTACTTGATGCAGAAATCCTGCAGCTTATGCATAACCGAGTGTATCAGTTTTCTAATTGAGGAAATTCCAAGGAACATTCTCATAATTTCTCTTGTTTTTTTTCAATTATATTTAGAAGCTTAAAAAGATACGAAAAGTTTGCAGAAAAATTTTTATATATTCTGGTGAAATTTTCCGTTAGATATACAACAAAGTAGCGCGCATTCGTCGCATTCACATTTATATTGCATTTACGCAAGATCTACACGTATAGAAGACTCCATTAATGCAGTCCCATTCGTAAGGAACAGCGACATCGAAAATTTCCAATCAGACATTTCCAATCATTATTTTTGAATATTCGTGCGTTGTAAGTGTTGATTATTCGGTGAGTCGGTAACGGTGCTCTGAATCAGCAGTTGTGATGTACAAATATTAAAAAATGCGTCTAATCGGAAATTTTCAATGTTACTATGTCACTATGTTCAGAGATTGGCACAGGACGGTTGCGACCGTTTTTTTACACGCTTCGGAACACAAAAGATACGACGAAGCGGATCTATGATTCACGAACATGCGCAGTAGATGGTCAGACAGCTGTCAACATCATACATGTACGTGTCAAAATATGAAAATGTATGTACATGTAATTTCGACAACTGCCTGACCTACCACGCATGCTCGTGAATCATAAGTTCGCTTCGTCGTAATCGTTGTATGCTCCGAAACGTGTAAAAAACAAACTTTTGCAACCTATGACTAACTGTACGAGAAATACAGAAACAGCAACGTGATCGTGTTAGCGTTTATGTAACACAACATTTTGAATATCACCTCTACCTTACCTCGATGTTTAAGTTCGCCGTCGTCTCTTGGCATCGCCCTAATCACGATAATAGTTCTCTCAATTTAGATCAACTCGAGAAGTGGACGATGAAGATTCGATTTCCTCGCCGGCTTCTCGAACCGAAAATTTTCGAGAAGGCACGGCCGAGTTCTCCGAGGATGCTTGCATCGCCGAGAAGCCAGACGTGCGTGACGCTTGTCGCCGAGCGATCGTCGCGAGGCTAATAGCAAAACGCAAAGAGATCCTTTAAGAGCGAGACGATTCGAGCCGAGTTTAAAGGCTTCGCAAACAGGCGCCAGATATTCGCTACCCGTGTGTATATCGGAAGCCATTCGAAGAGAGAAAGAGAGAGAAAGGGAGGGAAAAAGAAAGAGGGAGGGAGATCCCTCCGTGTTCTCTCGTTTCTCTCCCGTCGCGTTCACCAAAGCCTCTCCCGGCCGCCTCCGCTTCGGCACTCGACCTCAGTTAGCGCTCCCATATAGATGAAATTTATGTACCAGCTCGGCCGATCCTACGCACACGGCCACATTGAACGCGCTGACAATTAATTAAAGAATAATTTCTTGTCTTCGCGATACCCGGAGGAACGGCGTCGCCAGTTGGCGTCCAATTATACCCGGGGACCGGAGCGGAATACCAAGCAGGCCCGGCCGACGTCGACGACGATACCGGGCGACTCGTGCGGCTCTCCTGGCTGTTCCTGTTGTAAAGCCACCTCGACGCGAGGTAGTGATGCCGTTAACAGCGCGCGATCCATAAAGCGCGAGTCGCACGGCAGGAACAACGCCCCGTGTCTTAATTACCGGCGGACAATGGGATTTTCGAGCGAGCAGCCGCGTCCAGGCTCGGAATGAATCCCGCCGTTCGGATTCCGCGGATCGAACGATGGAGAATTTCCCGAATCGCGAGATCTCTCGAGTATCTCGATAGTCCGATTTTCATTTCTACGCTGATCAAAATATATCCAACACTTGGAACTATGAGATCGTAACTGTGTACCGGTGCTCAGCTTCAGGACAGTTTAACGTTATGAAATCTGTGAGCTGCTCCCTGGTATTTGAAAGTTCTTATTGAAGCAACTCCTTTTATATATATCTTCATACGTGCAATGTACATTTATACATTGTTAAAATTATATCGTATTAATTATGTTTTATGTGAAGGAGTTGTTTCGATAAGAACTTTTCAGATATTAGAAAACGCCTGACAAATTACGCCAACGGTCCTGAGTGCTGAGTTGTGACTATCAGTTGTGTGGCCAACTGTGGTCAACTGGCCGGGCGAGTTGAAGGGGCAAAGGGAAGTAAAGAGGAGTAACTCTTAAAAATCGTTTGTACAAATAATTCCGAGCACTGTTACGCATTATAGTAAAAGAATTATAGTCAGAAAGACCAGTTTTCTAATAAATATTGCTATAGTGGCAGTGATAATAACCTTACATATATGTATTGCCATTATTATTTTGGGGGTTGAAATAAAGAAAGGATACAGTTGAGGCCGAATTCATTAAACTTTGTTCTATTTCTTGTCAAAAATCTGAAGGGCACAAATATTCACACGTTAAAATACCAAATGCGCTGAAATTTTGGGAAGAATAAAAAATGGTAAAGAGTGAAAGAGAAGAAGGAAGAAGATCGCATGACGAGGGGGCCTTTCGACGCTTACTCCTCCGAACGTGCGTGCATTTTCACGAACCGCAGCCCCTGCTATGCCCACTGAAAAATAAAAGCATGTTGATGTGTGTATTTTTTTTCATAACTGCGCCGGCGTTATAGACTCGATCAGAGGCGCCCGTAAAAGAGACTCGAAACGAGCCGGTATGCGAATGCATACGCGGCGAACGAGGCGGACCGGAAGGGTTCGCGCTCTGGACGTAGGGAGAAGGAGGTAGAGGAAATATTCACGGTTAACGCGTGCATCGAAAGCAGGGCTCCACTCATTCAGTTTATCCAAATTAATTGGTCGTAAATTAAGTGGCCAGTCTGACGAGCGGTGAAGAAAGCGGGATGGTGCCGGGGCTGAGGATCCGAGAGGGACGACTAAATGCGCACCCAGAGGAAAAGAGATGAATGAGCGGAAAAAAAAGCCGAATCAAACAGGACGAAGAAAGATAGTATGAGAAAGAGAGAGAGAGAGAGAAGGGGGGAGGGGGGAGGCGGCATTAGCACAGACGAGAGAAAAAGTAAATTAAGAAAAAACCGAAAGGGAAGAACTAGAGGAGGGAGGAACTGTCCGGGGGACAGTAGCGCATCGACACGCCATTATGTGGCGGCTGGGACTAATTTATACAAGGGAAAGACGAGGACGCCACGGAAAGTCAATCCGCGAGCGGCTCAGTGAAAGAGAGAAAGAGAGAGAGAGAGAGAGAGTAGAAGGCCTCGGTGGCATTATTTAAGGGTAAGGACCCATCCTAATTGGAAGCCTGCCACTGTTTCAACGGCCGTAGGTATCGGGTGCTCGTATTCGTGTCCGCGGTCAGGGGTTACAGAGAAATAGAAATAAGGACGAAACTTTTGCGGAACAAAGCAAATTATTCTCGCTATTATTAGTATTTATTATTTATCATTATCGTTATTCCTTTTCCCAAAGTTATTGTACGTCCCGTTATTGCTGCCCATGCGCGCGCACATCCTAAATTTAGTGTCGTTTTTTAGCGAATTTACCGTTCGGACTCGGAATGCGCATGCATCGTGTGTGTACTTTTACGGACACCGAGCCGTGCAAGGGGATACATCTCGATAAAATCGTAGAGGAGTGAAATAAGCGCGTCGCCTTCGTTCGAAAGCACCATAAATCGGGCGCGTCGGTAAGCGAGAGCGCGGATCAAGTGCCGTGGCCGGTAATTGCCGGCGAGATGAATCGAGACGAAATTCTGTTTCCGACTTCGTAGGAAATTTACGAAGCCGATCACGGCGGCGGCGGCGGCATCGAGCGTTTACGGCGAGAAAGTTATCCGCCGCAAGAAAGCAGCGGCGGCCGCGATGCATACTCGCGCGTCTCTCGGCGAACTCTTCAAAAGTACGGAACCG